ATTTTAATTTTTAAGCACATTTCAATATTTTCGCTAATGCTATTCGTTATCGCTTCGGTCACTCCGTCGTCGTTTGTCGCGCGGCGCTCTATCGAGACTTTGCCCCTTACCTGCAATGCCACTATCTCCTACACTCCCATTAAGGACAAAGATAAAATTAATAATTCTAAATTAATTACTACTAAGACAATTAACGGCGACTCCAGTAATCAACGGACAATCAAATTTAATAAAAATAAACTAGCTGCTCAGAACGCCTCTGATAAAATGGACACTTCAAATAATGATAACTCAACGTCGGGCGGGTGGACTACATCTACGACAAATGAAACTAAAAGAATTCATTCAAATTCTTCCGATTCGAGTTCACCACGAACGCCGACAAATAAAAACAAAAAACTATTCTTTTCCACAAATCGGTATGAAGTTTTATTACAAGATGATCATCCGTTTGCACCTCCGTCGAATAATAACAATACAGTTCAAAATCCTATAGATACTATGAATGTCGCACCAAAAGTTTTGCGGCCGCCTCCAATTTTTGTAAGAGGCTTATACAACTTTCCTGACCTATACACTAAGCTTATTGACCTCATTGGAGTTGATAATTTTTATTGCAAATCATCGACAGATCGAGTGAAAATAATGACAACAAACCCAGAATCGTATAGAGCATTGGTTCACTTCCTGAGAGACCAAAAAGCAGAATTCCATACTTTTCAACTTAAGGAAGACAAACCATTACGAGTTGTGATTCGAAACCTCCATCCAACTACACCAACTGAGCTAATTAAATCTGAGCTCGAAATGCGCCTATTTGAAGTTAGGCAAGTCTCAAGTGTTCTCCATAAGGTAAATAAATATCCATTATCTTTATTTTTTGTGGACCTTGAACCTACTGATCAGTCCAACGACATCTACAACCTCACGTCATTACTTCATACGTTAATAAAAGTGGAAGAGCCATACAAGCTCAAAACTATAAACCAATGTTCAAACTGCCAAGATTATGGGCACACTAAATCTTATTGCGGTTATCCAGCACGCTGTGTCCGCTGCGGTGCTCAACACATGACGTCCGACTGTCCAAACTCCAGAGACTTCCCTCCCAAGTGCGCACTTTGTTCCGAAGATCATCCTTCAAACTACAAAGGCTGTTCAATCTACAAGGGACCTTCAACGACGCAAAAAACCAAAGCCAAATAATCAGGTAGCTAATAATATTAATCCTAAAAATACACATGTACAAGAAACACAACCAGTGAAAGCCTCCCCGACATACCCACCCGCTACGAATTATACCTACGCCCAAGCTACTTCTAACTGCAACGCCAATAATACAGTTCCTCTTCCTCCAGATATTAATATATTATTAGCGAGTTTCATGAATGAGCTCAAACAATTAATAAGTCCATTAATAACTCTTCTCACTAAAGTAGTCTCAAATCTTTTAGATAAAAAATAATGCCCTTTTCTACAAGCAACTCCATCTTAATTCTCCAATTTAATGCCAACGGTCTTAAAACTCACGTAAATGAATTGCAATTAGTCCTTCAGGAAAATCGCATAGACATTGCACTAATTTCTGAAACTCATTTTACTAAACACTCCTACGTTCCCATTACTGAATATAATCTTTTGAAATCAAATCATCCGGACAATACTGCCCATGGAGGCGCTGCGATTTATATTAAGTCCTCCCTGCTCTATCACTTCCGAACTTCTGTCAACCCTATTTACAATCATGTGCCATTCTACTATATCTCAATAACATACCAACTACAATTGCAGTAACCTATTCACCCCCCAAGACATAATATGAACATACAAAATTATGTTGATTATTTTAGTACCCTTAGTCATAATTTTATAATAGGGGGTGATTATAATGCTAAGTATATTAGCTGGGGCTGTCGTGCAAATAACCCCAGAGGTTTGGTACTTAATAATTATACAAATCTGAAATCCTACAATATTCTAGCTCCGCCAGGACCAACATACTGGCCTACTTCCTTACGTAAAAAGCCTGATATACTAGATATCTTTGTCTCCAACACACCATCAAACTTATTCCTCACGACTGGAAATCTCCTTGAACCCACCTCGGATCACTTAGCCGTATATTTAACAGTCAGTGCTTCACCACCTAAACTATTTCATCCGAATACAGATAGGTGTAGATTTCAAGATCTAGTTGATCAAAATATAGATATGAAAGTGAGTCTCAAATCACCCCAAGAAATTGATGATGCAATAAATAAGTTAACAAGGCCAATCAGAAGCTTGGGAGGCTACACCTACTTAAGCGAAGTTTTCAAATAATTCCTTCTCAATTCCAGAACATATTCGCATCCTGATAGCTAACAAACGTAGAGCTAGGGTCTTGTTTCAACGCTCTCGCCTACCATCACATAAACAAAACTTTAATAGTCTGGCTAACTCTTTAAAAAAAATACTAGCTAAACAAAAAAATCATCTTCAAGTCAATTACCTTACTGATCTATCACCAAATAAAAGTCTTTGGGATGCTACTAAAAAGTCAATAAAATACGCAGTACCAAACACCCCGTTAGTTAAATCAGATGGCAGTTTCGCCACCTCAAATGCTGATAAAGCTGAACTACTTAAAATACACTTAGCTGACACTTTTAGCCCTCCCACTGAGATACAAACTCCTCAAAATACCGAGTTAGTTAAACAGTACCTATATAGCCCCCTTCCTCTATCTACCCACTCAATAATTTACTCCAAACGATGTTAAATATGCCATACAGAAATACAGCCTTAAGAAATCTCCAGGCTTTGATTTAATAACTGCAGAAGTTGCCAGGTGCCTCCCATAAAGAGCAATCATTCTCCTAACAGTCTTATTTAATGCTGCACTAAGATTGACGTATTTCCTACTACTTTGGAAATTTTTAATCATCATTCTATTCCATAAACCTAAAAAGCCTCCAGATCTACCTTCTTCCTATCGACCTATTAGCCTCCCGCTCTTCTTCGCAAAAATTTTTGAAAGACTAATACTAAAAAGAATCCTTCCTTGTATCTACTCTAGTAACGAACTTCCTAATACTCAATTTGGTTTTCGTGCCAATCACTCTACAACACATCAGCTGCATAGATTAGTTGACGCCATATCCTTTTCACTTGAAAAAAAAAATATTGTTCATGCGTATTTCTCGATGTGTCTTAAGCGTTTGATCGTGTCTGGCACGAAGGCCTCTTTAAATTAAAACTTTTTCTTCCACCAACATACTACTTGCTGATAAAATCATATCTAACCGACCGTCACTTCCAAGTCAGGTTTGGTTTTACCGTTTCAAACATTGCAAACATTAATGCAGGAGTTCCACAGGGTGGCATACTCTCGCCAATTGTATATAATATGTATGCCGCCGATCAACCTACCTCTCTAAATACAACTGTAGCCGAGTTTGCGGATGACAAGGCAATTATAGTTATGCATGAAGATCCAATTTCTGCTTCCCTAAATCTTCAACATCACCTTAACCTATTGTCCAACTGGTACGATAATCGGAGCGTTAAAGTAAATCAATCTAAATCACTCCACACTACCTTTACTTTTCGCCTTCTTCCCTGTCCTGAAGTTTCCTTAGCCGACATACTTATACCTTCACCTCAATCTGTTAAGTATCTAGGACTAACCATTGATCGTCGCCTCACCTAGGCGCAACATGTAAGGGAAAAAAAACTGGCCTTAAATGCACGTATCTGGTTGCTCAAAACTTTATTAACTAACAAACTTACTAAATTAAATATCAAATTACTTATTTATAAATCCTTAATTAAGCCTATGTGGACATATGGACACCAACTGTGGGGTAATGCCAAAAAATCCAATCTCAACAAAATACAAACCTTTCAAAATAAAATCTTACGTTCCATCATCAATGCCCCCTTTATATCTCTAATTTTACTCTCCACACCGACTTAAAAATGAAAACTATACACGAAGAAGCTAAAACGTATTACAAACGTTTTTTCAACAAACTGTCTGGTCACTCAAATCCTCTGATATCAGGCCTAACCACTCACACAATTCCTGGAAACATTCAACGGCGTTTAAAAAGAAACTGGTGCAGAGATCTTCTTAAGGTCGCTCCACACTATGCATGTTTCGCGTTTCGCGTTTTGCGTTTCGCGTTTCATAGTGATTCGTAGCGTTTCGTAGTGTTTCGTAGAAAAGGTATACACACTATGCATGTTTCGCGTTTCGCGTTTCGTGTTTCACGTTTCGTAGTGTTTCGTTCAGTTTCAGCTTACTGTTGTTTAGTACGATTATTTCGTTTGAACGTACAGGTTGTTCATTCTTTTTTATTTAAATAAAAATGAATAGTGATAGCGAAGATGAATTATCAATCGCCAGTGCAATTTATATTGTATTGGCTTCAAAACTAAAAAAAAAAAAACCAAAAACACGAAGATGGTGGACTACAACTATATTTAAAAATCGAGAACTGTATGTATATTTTAATAATATATATATAATATATATAAATATTTTTTTTTTATCCTAAATGATTCTATATACATTTTGTAGATATAGTGGTAATAAATTAATGAATGACCTATCATACGAGTGTTCAGGAAAATTTGAAAATTTTTGTCGAATGACTTCGGCAGATTTTGAATATTTACTGAATTTGATTGGTCCATCTATTTCTAAACAAGACACTCACTTAAGAAAATCTATACCTGCTAAGGAGCGTTTAGCTGTAACTTTACGGTTTTTGGCAAGTGGAGATAGTTATCAAAGTTTAAGCTACTTGTTCAAAATGTCGCCTCAAGTTATTTCATTAATAATAATTGAAGTGTGTGAAGCATTGAAAACAAAACTTTCTGATCAAGTAAAGGTAATTTATTGTAAATTATTAATTAATACATATTTAATAGTATTTAACATAATTAGATATTGCTAAAAAATGTTTTAATAAGTATTTTTTTTTTAAATTTTGATTTAACCAATCGTAGTCCAATGTCCCTTCAATAACTTCAGTTGACGCCTCTGTTGAGTTGTTGAGTGGTGGAGATATTAGTGATGGACGACTGGGAGTTGAGGAATTTGATGGAGATGATGGCTTCGATGAATGACTGGACATTGAGTATTGAGCTGGCGAAGGAAATGGTTGTTGTACATAATTTAATGTTGTAGTATTTTGAGAAGACAATGCATATGGTTTTTGTAAATTATTTAACGTTGTATTTTGAGATGGTGAAGGAAATGGTTGTTGTACACAATTTAATTTTGATGTATTTTGAGATGACAATGAATATGGCTGTTGTACATAATTTAATGTTGGAACTACTTTTGTTGATGCCTCTGTTGAGTTATTGAGTGGTGCTTGTGGTGGAGATACTTGTGATGAACGACTGGGTGTTGAGGAATTGGATGGAGATGGTTGTGATGTGTGACTAAACGTTGAGCATTGAGATGGCGATATAAATGGTTGTTTTATATAGTTGAATGTTTGGAATTGAGATGGAAATGTATAAGGTTGTTGTACATAATTTAATGAGGTATTTTGAGATGGATGTGGTTGTAGATTTTTGTGACTGGTGCTTTGCATGAATTATTGCTCTAAACATCAAATTATCTATTTCATTCATCACATACTGACGAGTTATTTCGTCTATTTTTCGGAGTTTTGTTGCTACTAAAGCACCATAAATATCATATTCGTCCTTCTCCATTTTCTTTTGGCTCTCTTTTTGTTTTTGCATTAAATACTCATATGCCTGGGACGCACGTATTTCATTTTCATCTGTCGGCTTTTTCTTTTTTTTTCGGGATGCCATTGCAGGTGCACTAAATGTATTTTTTTCAATATTGGTAGTGTCACTCGACCAATCAAAATTTTTTTGTCTTTCATTATTGTCTTCTTTGGTGGTGTCGACATTATCTTCCGTGATCTCAATGTAACTATCATTGTTTGGATCATCGCTGATATCATGTTCGTCGTTGCTTTCACTATACTGTCTCCCTATTTAAAAAATATTATAAATTATGATTATATGATATTTACATAATTTTATTATACTAGAAATATTTTTTTTGTAGACTCCAAGAACTACTGATGAATGGCAAAAGATCGCTGACGTATATGGAAAAAAATGGAATTTTCCTAATTGTATTGGTGCCCTAGATGGGAAGCATATTGTGGTCATACTTTCTCCTATTAATAGTGGTAGTGATTATATTAATTATAAAGGAACATTCAGTATCGTTCTAATGGTCTTGTGTGATGCTGACTATAATATAACTTACGCAAATATCGGATCACAAGGTAGAATATCAGATGGGGGTGTTTTTCGTAATAGTACATTGTCAAAGAAATTAAAAAACGGAACGTTGAATTTATCCACACCAAGATGTTTGCCACAAAAACTTAAGCCTGTTGCCTGTTCCATATGTTATCGTAGCTGATAATGCATTCCCATTACAGGAAAATCTGTTAGTACCTTATAGTGGAAACCATGATAGTGGATCATTTCAAAGAATTTTTCATTATAGGTTATCTAGAGCTCGTAGAACTGTTGAAAATGTGTTCGGAATTATGTCTGCAGTTTTTCGTGTTCTAAGAAAACCCATTTTACTAAATCCCAATAAAACTCGACTAGTCACCGAATGCTGTGTATTATTACATAATTTTTTAAGAAGAAGCAAAGAATCAAAAAATATGTACACACCACCAGGAACATTTGACACGGAACAGAATGGTCAAATATTTAATGGATCATGGAGAAATGAACTAGAAGGGCAAACATCATTATTATCGATGGAAAAAAGAGGTAGAAAAACATCTATAACGGCAAAAGACTTTCGACAAGTATTTGCTGAATACTTTATGACAACTGGAAAATTAGAGTGGCAAGATAATTATCAGTAATAATGTTATATATATAATTTGTAAATACTGAACACTTGTATTATATGTTTTTTGATACATATTCTGTAGTTAAATCAAAACAAATAAATTAATACATTCACTGCCTACCACGTTTTTTTACCTATACAATGTTATTATATATTGTTTTAAATCTGTAAATGTAATAATGACATATTATTTTAGATTCTGAACGGAGTGAAGAATGTATTGATTTTACAATGATGTGTGTTTTTTTTTTTTTTTTTTTGTTTTTTTTTTTTTTTTTTTTTTTGTGTGTCTGTGTACAGCATAACTAGTCGAAATAATGCTTCGATTTCAAACTTCAGGGGTGGTTTCCGATGGAAAAGTGAATATCCTTGGTGCATTATAGAGGTCAAAATTAAACATTTTCCGACAGTTTTCAAAAAAATCGAGAAAAACAAAAAAAAAGTGACGGAAAAACGGGAAATTTTACGCAAAACCAATTTTTGACAAAAACGAAAATTTAATTTTTCTGTAACTCAAAAAATAATTACTGTAAGCACATGAAAAAAAACAAATGTTTATATTAGCATTTTCTATACAGAGTTAAATTTTCAAAGTGTTTTGACTTTTTTTTAGTTATTTATAGACAATTGAAATATTCAATTTTTCTAAGTATTTTTTTTTTAAATAACGATAAATAATTTTTGGTTGGCTAGAAATATTTGAAAATTTAATACAAGGTTTCTCATAAGTTGTGCTCAAAGTGATAAAAAAAAATCCAAAATCGTAAGTCACAATTTTTTTTTATAAGTACTTAAAGTTCAAATTTATACGAAATATGTCAAAATTGTGAAAATTTGCAAGTAATTTTGTGGTTGAAAAATCGTAAAATTTTTTTCTTTTATAACTAAGTTTTGAAAATTTGGTACAAGGTTGTCCATAAGTTTTTCTTTAAATATCTGTAAAAAAAACTCTACCGGACTAAGACAAAAAATTTTTAGGAGTGTTTGAAATTTAAATTTTTACAAAACCGCGTTAAATTATGGTTTAGCCTCAAACGATTTTTGATATTTGTTATTATTCAAAAAGTATAAGTTATAGAAACTTGAAAATTTTACCAGTTGTTTAAATTGACGTTTTCTTTATGTAGTATAATGATAATAGTATTATGATAATATAACAAAAGTACCAAAAAAAAAAATTTCTGCTTAGGACAATATTAAGGACAGTAATAACTGTACAAAAATAAATTTTTTATCGTTTAAAGTGAGAATTAAATAAAATTTATAATTTTAGCCACAGAATAATTAACGATTATTACACTTACCATTGTATCTACCGTACCGTGTGGTGTGTATACATCTTGCATAAATGTATGTATAGCATCAAATGCAAACCACGATGGCTTAAACACATCTTTTCTCCCAGCACCAGAAACTTTCGTTGTTTTTATTTTTCGTCGATATCCTCTGTAACTCTGGATTAAATTGTTTATTTTTTTATGTATTTCTTCTTTTGGTTTTTTAAATTGTAAGCCTAATTTCTGATATGCATCATTTTTTTTATTTTTCGATTTGCGGTCTGTATCTTTTGGATCCCACAAACATCGATAGTTTTTAAATTCGTCAATAAATGTGAGCACTAGTTCATCATTCCACTCGGACGCCATGGTGACAACTAATTGACGAACTAAATTTGTAACGAAATTACGTAATTCCATATTATGATATTATGATATTATGATATTTGATAACATCCATTTACCTACAAATATCTAATTTTATTTAAAGATAATCAAAGTAATCAGGTACCTAATTAAGGTAATCAAAGTATAATCAAGTGATATGAATTTCCTGTTTACAGGAGAAACGCGAAACAACACGAAAAACAACGAAATACAACGAAACGACACGAAACAGTACGAAAAATATTTTCGTGTCCTTTGATTTCGTCCATTTTACCGCCTCGTTCGCGAAACACTACGAAACCGTTTTCACGAAAAAAATTTTCGTGAAAAAGCTATTCACACTATTCACGAAATTCAACGAAAACGTGAAAACATGAAACGCGAAACGCGAAACATGCATAGTGTGGAGCGGCCTT